ACTAAGGTTGGGAAAGACCCCTAGGATCATCTAGTCCAGCTGTCACCAACATTGCCACTAAGCCATGCCCCTCAGTGCCACATCTCTACATTCTCGAGCACCTCCAGGAACAATGACTCTTCCACCTCCCTGTGCAGCCTGTACCAATGCATCACCACTCTTTCATTGCTTTTTGTTTGCTATATATCAGCTCCTGCCCTAAGAATTATTTGGAAGAGGGAGAGAACTATTAAAAGCGTTTAGGGAAATATCAAAGCCCACAAAGCTAAACTGTATGAGAGAACAGCAGGCAATAGCAAAAGACCTTGAGGAGCACGAGACTAATTAGGGAAGTCGGCCATGCGTTTTGTTATCACTCCATTACAATGAATCGAAATGAGGCTGGGGTTGAACATCACTGCTAAGCAACACCTTGGGAACAGGAGCAGGTGAAACCTGATGTGCCCTTGTGTTAGTTGTTTAGGCTCAAAGAGCAGCAACTGATACAGAGCTCATTTCAAAGCAAAAAATACAAGTAGTATGTATCACTAAAGGTGAGAACTTTCAAACTGGAATCAGGTAAATAAAGTCCATGGGAATGTAAAACAATAGTCAATGAGGTAACAAGGGGAACCTGTGACAGGGAGAAGTAACCATTAAACTTCATGGATACTTGTTTACAAACAATTTTCTTGTACTAATAGCTAGAAAGGATGCAAGATTCAGTACTTACCTGTACTTAAGAGAGAGCTCACCTGTCATACACACACAGAATAAACCCCAGTTCAATGCACTTTGCTTTAAATAAAGTAATAATCCCAATTCTATAGGACCACATAGTAGAAGTCTTGCTGAGCTGAATTATATCTCATCTGTCTCCTGAGATTCTGCAGTAAAAAGTGTTGTTTTGCATTTCAGCAATGAACAAAGTGATTCCAATATAAGATTTGTTTGTAAAACATTGTCAACCAAACAGATCTTGAGCAAGAGCTTGCTCTTAACGTGAAAGCAAACAGAAAAACCCACCTCCTTTCTGAATGTGAGTGACAGCAGACAAACATGACAAAACAAGATGAGCCAGACTGCTGATTCTACACCACTGATTCCATTGGGAAAGACAAGGCTGTTTGCAACAGCATCAAAGGCAGCGGGCAGTTGCCTGTTGCTGGGTTGATGATGTTAACAAACAGCCTGAAGGTGTGAAAGTAGATGCTGCAGTGCTGGTTCAAGAATCAGGCCCCCATACAAGCATCTGAGCCTGGTGGAAATGCGTAGAGCATTTGTTTCTAACAGTTTTTCAGAATGATTTTGTCACTCCCAACCGAGCCTGTGATAGCAGCACTATTTTTCTTCCTGTAGACAAAGACCCATTGTTTAATGCTTCTGAATGCTATGACAACTAGAAGGGTGAAAGTCAACCTGCAAGTGACAGTAAATGCATTCTCTCTCTTTTTTAATATTCAGTGCATAGATTTGTAACACACTGTTCAGCATGATTCTCCAAGACAGCTAGGAAAGGCAATCCACTGTCAAAGCAATAGCAGCTCTTCACTCAGCAAGTTTGGCATTCTTCATTTCCATCTTTTGTCATGTAAAGGGGCACCAACTGATGACACAGACCAGCATGGGCTGGCTGCAAAAAAAAAAAAAAAAACAAAAAAACCCTTATGCAACAAACTCTGCTATCATTTGCTTTTGCTTTCACTTTTTATAGCTTGGCTTAATATAGTCAAGCAGCACTGATACCACAGTAGAGGAACATTTCCTGTCCCACCAGCTGAGCCAGTTTCATATTATACATATTAAGCTCATGTCATCCCCTGGACACAACCAAACCAGAAGACAGATGTTTGATAAACATCTAGTCTGGATGGGAAGGAAGAACACAATATTGAAAGAAACAAAGCAGAACCTTTTACTCCTATTTGAAAAAGCACATTGGTTTGGTATTGGCAGCAGAAATTTAGAAGTGAACCAGACACAGAAGTTAGCTTTGTTTTGGAAACATTTTGATACTGATACCCATCTTAGATTAGTAAATTTGACAGCGCTACTTGGCAAGATAAACTCCTGCTTCCTTGCAGGTCACTGCATGGTGATGAGGAATATGTGAAAAGCTCTCGGTGCAGCAAAACTACAGACCTTGAAGCATTTAATGAATGAGCACTTGCTGCTCTCCATCATTCTGCTCACATCACATCACCAGAGTACAGATTACTGTCTACAGGAATACCAGGAACACCTCAAAAACCATTTCTTGTTCCAAATTCCACAGAGTGGAGACTGAATAGCAGCTCTATGCCATCCCTCCAGGGTGTGGCTGTACTAAGTTACCATCCAAACAACGGCCATTCAGTTACTTGAAGGAAAGAAGTCGGATCCTAGAAACAGGAAAAGCTGAATTGCATTCCTTTTTTTCCCCCCACATCTTGGTTGCAGCATGAACAGTAGATGACCAAAAGGGAAACGTTTTCCTGAGATAAAAAAATATGAGCAAGGTGCTCACCATTGATCCATTAGCAGCACATCTATCAGTACTCCATAAGAACTAAGCTAGCCTCAGAGACTCACCTAGAACCTGCAACAGGAAGTCCCAGGTTTGCCCACTTTAGATATTCCCTGTGGCTGACTCCTCTTTTGAGGAAGTTTCTCTTCTTTTTTCCATGCCTGCACATATTAAAGCACCCAAAATGATATTTTAAGTGCTGACAAACTGGAAAGCATACAAAGAAGAGCAACGAGAAATGAATTATGAGTGCGGGAGAGACTCACAAGGAAAGATTAGAAGAACTAAATATGTCTAGCTTGGCAGAGAGATGACTAAGCAGGGGGGAAGTGATAAATGCCTACAAATATTTGAAGGGTGTATACACTGAGGAGGCAGAGATTTTGCAGTGAGAGGCATACCAGGTGGTGGGATTAGGAGCAAAAGCATGGAATCACAAAAGAAAAAAACTCCAAAAAAAAACCCCAAACTCACAAAGCAAAAATGCAGCTGAAGGATAGACAAGCAAAACTCTGCAGGAAAGTTAAATATATCCACATTCCCCATGTTGGAGATGTGAAATGTTCCTCAGAGACAGGGAACTCAGTATATAAGACATATGGGAAGGCAGAATGAGTGCTCTGGTGCACAGAACTAATGGAAAGACTTGGGCCTGGATGTTGGGAGACCAACAGGAGCCTCAGGAGACTGCAGGTGTCTCACAGACACTGCAATTATAGAGCTTCGGTCAGGAAACAAAGGTAGATTTTGCATCCAATGAAAGTCTCGAGGGAAAGGTTGGTTTGGACTAATTTAGTGACCCTGAACTTGGTAGAGCTACAGGACTTTATCTGACCAGATGTACTCCAGCCAGATGCTTCAAGGAAGCAGAAAGCTTTGGAGCTGTTAAGTATTCTAAAGTATGGCTGTGGAAAGTCTGAAACATCAGGAGGGTATGTAAAAGCATCATAGTCCCTCATCAGACAAGAAAGCTTAACCAGGGTGAAAGGAAACAAGCAGGAGGGGTTTGTTCTTGGCCTGATGTAATTTCTGATACAGAGCACAACAGTGCTCCTTGGAAATACACACACTGAACACATAGAATCATAGGACCACTATGATCACCCATCACACCCACTAAATCATGTCCCTCAATGCCACAACACAGCCAACTCATCCTTCAGGGCTAAAAACAAAAACCAGAAGGAAACTTTCCTTCTACAACATATGTGACGTATTACATTAGTGCTCTAGGTCCTGCCTTAAAGAGACACAGCTCCAGTGCTAAACTTCTCCCTTGCACAATCTTGTGTGAAGACAACAAAAAAAAATTCCCCACAAGTCTCAATACAGGAAGCACATAAGTCCTCATCAAATTCAGTTTGAAGAGAAGACACAGCCCCAGCTTGAGCTTCTAGGGCACACCACGTACCTACCAGAGTCCCATGCTTTTGGCTGGGAACTCTGTAGCAACTGGACAGATCAATACGATGGGAGAAGTGCTAAAACAGAGGTGCAATTATGGAAGGTCCAGCACACTAGGGAGATGCTATAAAGGAAGGTAAGACGATTGCTCACCCATATCAGAAGATCCCAGGTTTGCAGGGGAAAGCTTCACCAAGCATGGATCTCCAGAAAGAGATCCTTCCACAGTGGCAGTCAGCCCTTCAATGAGGTCTAAGAGAGGTGCAGCCAAGCTAAATTGCCTTCACCTGTGCTCCCAGGGCTGACCGGGTCCTTTCCCCAGGTGCTCAATCAGTGGTTGAGGCCGTGACTCAGCAGCTCCCATACAAACTCTGCTAATTGTGAAATGCTCAACTATTTAACAAGCAGAGCTAGTTCGCAAAAAGAAGATATTTGATCAGAGTGAGAATCCATGCTGTTGAGTATACAGCCCTCTAACCACCTACTGAATGAGAGGAACAAATGGGGCAGCTGGAGGTCACAGCAGTCAGTGTGGTGGATCAGCCTAAGGAGTACCATAAGGGAAAAAAAACATTCCCTCAATCCTTCACTAGAACAGCAGCACCAAGTGCCTCAGCACAGGTGCTATCCCCATTCCAGCTGAGGGAAGCAGAGACAGAAAAACAAAGGTTGTAGAAACATAAGATTTGCCAGGGTTTCCCACGTTGCAGAAACTGCAATTCAAACCTAAAGCCAGCCATCGCTTCCAATAAGCCACAACCTCTAAATAATAAAAGCCCTTAACGCAATTCCCCTCAGAGATGACAGCAGATATCCATCACGGGGTCCTCCCACCACCATAGAACTGGCTGCCCAACAAACAGATTCTTATCAACTGTAAGAACCAAGTCCCAGAGCAGCTTCTTTACAAGGCAGCCCCAGGACAGAGCAGCTGCAGTGGCCAAGCATGAGACATCCCAAAGCAAACACAAGGAAATAAGAGGTAAAAGATACACTCTTCTCTCTGCTCTTCCTAAAATGTGACTCTTGCACTAACAGAAATCATAAAATATCTCAGCACAGCCATTATGCAGCTCCTGCTCCACTTAACACTGGATGAAACACGACATACCTGGGTCCAAACATGGTGGTGAAGCTCTGCAGAAGTAGGCTGGCTTCTGACTCATTGGGAAAAGCAGCAGGTATTGTTCAAGGCTCAGATGATCCAATTTCCAGGCACAGTCTCGGCACTCATTGCAGTGTAATCATAATGGAGACCCAGGCTCACGATCATAAAACAATGCAAGCTCCCACGTCCCAGCATGGCTGTAACAAGTGACCAACATGACCCTGTAACAAGTAAGGGCTGCTGTAGCTCCTCTTATCAATTAACCAGATGTTTAACTTCAGCATCCCAGCTACAACTCAGCACAGAAAATCACATCTCCTCTCGCCACTTAGCCCTAACCCACCAACTCCAGCCAGAGCAGCTTTCCCCTGGCCATCTTCTTTGTGCTGTTACTGCAGAACAGGTGCAGCACATCAGGCCCAGGACGAGCTGCAGGTGAGAAACCGCTCTGTGTTCTGCCTGACCCAAACTCTTGTGGGCCCTACTGTGTAAACATAAAGCACAATTATATCCCCTCTCCACATGGAATCACTTTATAGAATTTATTATTATTATTTGGAGCTCAAATTGAAACCCTCTGGCCATGCATGAGCACTAAGCCTGCTTAGGGAGTGCAGGAAGCAGCTAAAGTGGTGAAGAGGGAAAGATTTATGACAGACAGAAAAGAAATTTTCTTTTCTTGCAACAAGCCTCACATTCCTAATCTATTTCTGCTGTTCTTGCTGTTCTCTACCAAACTTCTGACAGGTCTTATAGACTAACACTTACCATGCTGCAAGCTGTTCCCCTAAATCCTATTTTATCATACTTTATAACCACCTGGCTGGATTCCCTTGGTGGTATTTTTCACTCCTTCTTGTAGTCCCTAAAAGCAGCTGTACTGCCAAAGCCACAGCCTTCATCACCCCCTTTCTTCCTTCTCCTATAATTTCAGCTCTTCTTACCCTGAGTTTCTTTTTTTTTTTTCTTTTTCTTTCTGGGGAGGTCCCACCTGCTACCTAAAATTCAAATAATCGCATTATTGAAACAGATTGATGATGGTTTACACCTGTCTTCCAAGCAGAATTTCAGCCTCACCTCCGTTCTTTGCTTCAGCAAAACCTAATTCTGTTAGATCTTTACAAGTGTACTTCTTCCCTTGATGAAGTGCTATTAGGTGAGAATTTAAAGGGAGGTCCATGAAAGAGAAAAATAGTGATGACAATGAAGAATCTCTCTGAAATTGTCTTTCTGAAAGCTCCAAATGGTTTCCTACCAGCACAAAAGTGTCTCCTGATTATTTCTGAGCTGAGGCTCAGGGAAATCCTAAGGGTAGGCAGGTGGGAGGGTGTCACCAAGTAAACATGAGCATTTCTGAAGGATGACGGGGGATTTGTAAATCCTGAATGAAGGAGATGGGGGGAAGCTGGATAGGAAAGTAGAAATGCTGTGGCCTCTGCCACTCTCCTGCTGATGCTGGAGCAGCCCAGGTAGTGGCTACAAGGGCGGCTCAGGGCTCCAGGTTTCCCCATGCTGAAAGCTTCCATGCATATCCCATGGTGGTGGAAGCACTCTCCTGGTCTGCAGGTCCCTGTGGACCCCCCTTACAATCTTCATCAGAATTTTTGTGGCAAGTTTCCAGTAGGGCTTTGCAATTTCCATACAAACTATCAGATACATCTTCCTACCTTTGCAATGATTTCTCCCTTCAGGTCTTCCTCTGGTAAAATAAATGGTGCTCCCCCCCCCAGATTTTGTGGGTGAGACCTGGGCAGGTGCTGCTTGTGCCCATCTCCAGAGCCAGCAGTGCTACCTTGCAGGAAGGAGCACTGCTAACGCGAGCTTCATGCTGTGTTCCCATGGCAACCCAAGTGTCACGTTCATCATCATCTCATTTATGATAAAAAAAAACACAGGTCCAATGAAAAAAATCCAGGAGTCCCAGTGGGCTTTGCTGAGGTTGGGTGGTTTTTCACAGAATCACAGAATGACATTGGAAGGGACCTCTGGAGATCATCTAGTCCAACCTCCTTGCTCAAGCAGAGTCCCTTTAGAGCACAATGGAATGAATATCATTTTTTAACCTCATTGCTAGCACCATTCACCTCAGGGCTGCTGAGGAAAGCAGAACTTTGTTCAGTGATGGCACAGAGGTTTTAGCTGTCTGGGATTAAAATGCATTCAGTCAGATACATACAGTTCACGTCTCATCTGTTTTGTCTTATTTTGAAGCAGGGGACATACGATCAACTTACCACAGCTATAGAAGTTACTAAATGATAGTAGAAGAGGTTTCAGTGTCACCTACCCTACTGACATGACCTGGGGATAATGACTGCTATCAGTTATCTTTGCTCAGTGGCACACGATGACTTATTAAATCACAGCAATTTAATAATATGGATGGATTTGGAGTTGTTTTGCGCAAGGCAGAGGAAACCTTAGTGTGCATCAAATCCCCTTGTTGCCCCATGTTGTTCTCTGCTGACGTCTGTGTACCAGAAACCAGACCCATCTGGAGCTCCATCACTTCCACCAGTGGGTAGATGTGGTACTTTTCTAAGTACTTCTGTGTGGTTTAGTGGGCAGAACTGGTGGTAGGAGGACAGTTGGACTAGGTGACCTTAGAGATCTTTTCCAATGCTAATGATTCTATGATTCAATAGTGACAAAGCATTTCCATGCAGGTCAGTACGGGGAGCTCACCTTTCAGCTCTGAGACAAAAGATGCTACAAAAGGGGTTCTGGAGATGCGTTGCTGGCCACTTCTGGGGCTCTCTGCTGTGTTGTTGCTGGAGGCACCAGAAGATTTAAGGCCAGAGAATTCATTTCAATCTCTTTAGAATCAGTTCCCATGATTAGTTGTTTTTACTGTGGAAGAAATGAAAGAGGAACCTCCAGCCTGAGGAACAGAGAAAGGGGATCTTTAGAATAGCGCCTAGGAGAGAAGCATCTGCCAGGAAAGTGAGATCACACCTGAGCTTAAGAACAAAAGGAGAACAGAAGTGTGGGAGGAATGGCAGCATTATACAGAGTCCCTCGATAAGGCAGAAATAAATAGCTTTTGCACAACCCAGTGCCTACATCCTCACACTGAAGCATGGATCCAGCACAGTGCAATATTTAGGTGAGCTGCTATCATGAAGTCACACAGCTCAAAGGGATATCTTCCTTGACATATGAAAACCACTTAGGGGTAGAGGATGTCTAAAGAATCTCAAAATGAAAAACATTAGTAAAGTTGCTATTAATCCTCTGTTTCAATCTTTAGTTTTATTTCGATATGATTCAGTTTTCCCTCCCCGAGCAGTTTAGCTGGCCCAGCAGAGCAGTGTTTGAGTCAGATTTATACCTGTATCTGGGGCAAGCACTTTAGCTAAGAGCTTGCTCTGATCTCGAGCAATCTCTTCCTCCTCAAAGACCCGACAGAAACCTCACACAGGCAGCCTTTAATGAGAGAGATAAAGAGAATCTGGTTATATACACTCACATGTGATTTTGTGGAAGAAGAAACTGGGGATTAAGGATGACGAAGGTCAAACTAGGAGGCTCTGAGGATGCAGTGACATGCCCGACCTCTGCATGGCAGCAGAGTGGGAGTATGCTGAGTTTTGTCCAGTGGACTGAGACCTCAATTTTTCTCCTGGGAATGAGTTTTCTCCTATGTCTCCAGCTGATCTCCAGCTGTGGCATTATCCTGCTCAAGTATCTTTCATTATCTACAGGGGGTCTGTAAGAAGGAAGGAGAAAGACACTTTATCAGCGTCTGCTCTGGTAGGACAAGAGGACATGGTTTCAAACTAAAAGAGAAGATTTAGGTTGGAGATAAGGAAGAAGTCTTTTACAGTGAGGGTAGTGAGGCACTGGCACAGGTTTTCCAGAGAGGAGGTGGCTGCTCCATCCCTGCAGACACTGCAGATCAGGCTGGATGGGGCCCTGAGCACCTGATCAGCTGTAGGAGTCCCTGTTCAGTGCAGGGGAGTCAGACCAGATGGCCTTTATTGGGCCCCTTCCTACTCAAACAATTCTATGACTCTGTAAGTCACTGAGCCACTTTTGTGATCAATTATTGGGAATAAAGAGATGAGCATCCCAGTTGTTTCCATTGCCCACACCACAGCTCTGAACAGAGGAGAAATGAGTTTCAAAGCTTACTATTTCCTTTCTGGACTCATCTAAGCTAGCAATCAGCTGTGGCATACAGATGGAAGTACCTGAGGGGCCATTAGGGTTCAGCCTGGTCTCCTGTTATTCCACTCATAGGTTGGGAAACAGAAAAAAATGCTTTCAAGGTTACACAATGTAAAGAAGTCCATTAGCCTGTAAGGGGCTGGGATGACAAATAAAACAGTTCTGGACAGCCTTAATTAAACACAGCAGCGTGTTCATTCATGCCTTGCTGAGTGGCATTTCTGCAGAGGAGATGAGCTGTTCTGGCAAGGTGAGTACCTGTGCAATCCCTCCTTCTTCCCCTCTGGAGGGGCCGAGGGGGGGTCAGGGCAGCTAATGAGCCAGATGTGCTGCCTGCTTGCTCGCTCCCCTGCCTGGCTGCCCATTTAGAGGCTGCCAGGGAGCTGGAGTGTGCCAGGCAGGTTTTTGTAAGCATGTGGAAATTAACAAATCTCACTCTGAGCTGGAAAGGGCAGATAATTGAGAGAATTAAAATTAAGAAAGAAAAAAAAAAAAAAAGAGGGAGAATAAGAAAGAAAGAACAGGGAGAGCCAAAAGGAAATACTTCAAAGGTCCATAGCCTGCAGCCGTCATTAATGACAACAAAAAGAGGATGGCACCCTTACATTTTAATCAAAAGCAATTATTTTTTCAAAAAGGTGTTATTGCTCTGCAGTGCAGTGCTGCAGCCCCTACCCACAGCAGTGCCAGCATGGCCAGCTGGCACCCAAAGTGGGGGTTTCCTTGGCCTCCTGCTTTCTGCACTGCCCTAGAATAGCAGCAGAAGCAAGAGTGAGCAGGTGCTTCAGGAGAAATGCCTCTGGGAAAGAAGATTGAAAGCTACAGGAAACCAGAGGCATTAGAAACATGACTGAAATCTAAATCCCAGCCTTCCCTGGCTGGTCTCTGTACAAACATTGCATGTAGGATGTTAACCTGAAACACAAACCCAGAGAAGCTGTGAGTGCCCCTGGAGGTGCTCAGGGTCAGGTTGGATGGGGCCCTGGGCAGCCTGAGCTGGCAGGGACAACCAGCCCATGGCAGAGGGTTGGAACAAGATATTATTTGGGGT